ATGCATAACTCACTTAAGGCTTAGTGTGGCCCAGATAATGTATATTTATGGTTTATTTTGTTCATTATTAGCTAAAATGTGGCTGTGTAGTGGCCTGCTTGTGGACCACTGCCAAAATGCCAACATTCTATGCAGCATGTGGGCCACATGAGGAAAGTGCGGAAAACCAGGGTTAGAATAAAAATCAACTGTGGCCCACATTACGGCCAGTTTGGGTTTATTTGTTTGGCTTACATGCTGCAATGTTAAGGCATACTTGAGGCCCAAATCTGGCAAACTGGCAAAATTTGGGACTGCCAAAATGCTATTATTCCATGCAGTATGTGGGCCGGAGCAAGGTGTTGGATCTGGGCCAGAATTCAAATAAATGTGGCCCAGATTTGGGCCAATTTTGATTTATTTTATTTATTTATATTCATGGCTGACATGCGGCCTACCTATGGCTTGCTTGTGACCCAAATTTGGCAAACAGGAGCGTACCGCCCAAGTGCCATCATTCTTCACAGTATGTGGGCCGGATTAAGGTGTTGGATCTGGGCCAGAATTAAAATCGATGTGGTCCAGATTTGGGCCAGTTCTGCTTTATTTGGTTTATTCATGGCTGACATTGGGCCTTCCTTTGACTTGCTTGTGGCCCAAATCTGGCAAACAGGAGTGGTCCACCCAAATGCCATCATTCTTCACAATATGTGGGCCAGGGAAAGGTGTTGGATCTGGGCCGGATCTAAGCCAGAATTAAAATCAATGTGGCACAGATTTGGGCCAGTTCTGCTTTATTTGGTTTATTCATTGCTGACATTGGCCTTCCTATGGCTTGCTTGTGGCCCAATTTTGGCAAACAGGAGCGGACTGCCCAATTGCCATCATTCTTCACAGTATGTGGGTCCGGAGCAAGGTGTTGGATCTGGGTCGGATCTGGGCCAGAATTAAATCAAGGTGGTCCAGATTTGGGCCAGTTCTGCTTTATTTTGTTTATTCATGGCTGACATTGGGCCTTATTTTGGCTTGCTTGTGGCCCAAATCTGGCAAACAGGAGCAGGCCATCCTCATGGTATGTGGGCCAGATGAAAGTGTCAGGTGTGGGCCTGATCTGGGCCTCAGGAATTTTGCTATCTGGGACATATGAGGTATACATCTATGGAACCCTAAATGAATCCATGGTGCTGGTTTTATGTATTAATTTATCAAAAACATATGAAAAACAATCTCCAGTGTAAGTTCAATTCAATTTTCAATTAATTTCAAGTTTATTTCTATAACATTTTTCACGATGCAAATGGTTGCAAAGCAGCTTTACAGAAAATTAAAGTTTCTGAATTATATTTAGAATAATAATGTATTTAAGTATACATAAGGACAAATGAAATATATGCTTATATTATAGACTCACTGAATGTACATGCATTTTTACTGTGGGTATTTTATATATTGCATGTTATAACTTATATCTTCATATACTCAGAGGATGTATGTGATAATAAAATATCGTCTTATAGGTAACATTCTGTAACGTGGGGAGGTGTGACAATGCAGTAGTGGATCCAAGTGCAGGCTTTATTCAAAAGAGTGGTCAAAACAAGCTGGGTCAAACACCAGCAAAACAATATAATCCAAGGCAGAGACAAAAGAGTAATCCACAGAACATGCAAAGGTCAGGTCAGGCAGCAAACAATCATACAAAACAGGTAAGCATTCCAGGGTCAAAGAACACTAAGGCAAGGTAAGGCAAGAAAACAAGGAACTAGTAAACACGGGCAGGAACACCGAAACACAGGAACTAGGGAACGATACAGGCTAGCAATACTTAGCAGTGTAAGTGTGCGCGTGTGCATCTTTTATAGTGTCACTGATGGGAAACAGGTGTGAGTGTGATAATGAGTTCCAAGCCAGGGGTTATGGGAAATGTAGTCTGGGGTAAAGTGGCAAGAGTCAGGGGTGGAGTGCCCTCTTGTGCAGTTCATGGGCACTCCAGCTGGAGATCGTGACAGAGCACCCCCCCACCCCCCAAAGGAGCGGCTTCCAGACGCTCCTCAACAGACATGAGTCCAGGAGGGAGGTGGAGCAGAAGCGGAACAGGGGGAGGGATGGAGAGTCAGGTCCATGTGGCAGTGAGGGAATTGGGGACTGAGGCAAAGCCGGCGGAGCAGGAAGCCAAGGCCGAGCAGAGTGCCAGGGCGGAGTCGGTGGAGCAAGGTACCAGGGCGAAGCAGGGTGCCAAGGTGGAGCCGAAAGAGTAGAGAGCCGAGACGGCTGCCAGAAGCCAGGATGGAGCCGGCAGAGCAGAGGACCACCAGGGTGGAGCTGAAGACCACCACAGCAGAGCAGATGGGAACAAAGATCCCTACGGTGGAGCAGATAACCACCACAGCAGAGCAGATGGGACCGAAGATACCCACGGGGGAGCAGATGGAACGGAGGACCACTTCAGTGGAGCTGATGGTGTGGGAGACCGCCAAGGTGGATCATGCAGAACTGGAACAGAGAGCAAAGAGAGGCTAACAATGGCATCTGTGGCCATAACAAGGCAGGCAGGAAGTTCGTAAATGGCCTTCTTGGCTGTAACAGGACAGACAGAGAGTTCACAGATGGCCTCCATAGCCATGACAGGACAGTCAGAGGATTCACAGGTAGCCACTTTGGCCACGGCTGGACAGGCAAAGAGCCTGAAGACGGCCTCCTTGGCTCTGACAGGACAGACTGAAAGTTCAGAGACGGCCTCCTTGGCCATGACAGGACAGATAGTGAATTCATAAATGGCCTCCTTAGCCATAACAGGACATACAAAAAGTTCAGAAGTGGGCACCACCACCATGGGAGAAGCTGAAGTGGACACTGCGGCCTCAGGAGGGTCTGCAGCGGAAACTGCCACCTTGGGAGGAGCTGGAACAGACACCGCCAGCACAGAAGGTTCTGCAGCAGATGCCGCCACCTCCGGAGGAGCTGGAGCAGACGCATGGACTGGAACGGGTTCTGGAGCAGATTCAAGGACTGGAGCGGGCTCTGGAGTGGATTCAAGGACTGGAGCGGGCTTTGGAGCAGATTCAAGGACTGGAGCGGACTCGGGGATGGATTCGGTGGACTGCACTGTAGTGAGCAGTGAGTAGCCCAAACACACAGGATGATGACCACCATTACAGGGAGCACTGAGCCTAGGGGAACAGTCTCTGTGATGACCAGTTCTGAGGCCCTTGGGATGCCTGCTGCTTTCACTGACATCAACGGTGGGTCCACCAGACTGGAAGCCAGCCTCAAACACCTAGGAAATGCCTGGGTGTCTTCAAACGCAACGTTTACAACGACCGGGAACACTGGAGTGGCATCTGTGATGGCTGAAGATTGTGGCTTGACATCCATGAAAGCTGGAGGCTCTGGTATGGCGGCCATCTTGTGGATAGGCTCTGGGCTGGCGGCCATCTTGGGAAGAGACTCTGGGCTGTTGGCCATCTTGGGGAAAGGCTCTGGGCTGGCAGCCATGATGGGACGAGACTCAGGAGTGGCAGATACTGCTGACGTGTCATGTTCCTCCTCCACAACACCCACAGTCAATGCAGA